CATGAAAAAGTCAAGTACTATCTTCAAAACACGAGTGTTTTTTGTGTATGGATACATATATATATTTTTTCAGTGTTCGTGACTGATAAAGATCATCCTGATGTGAGGTTTTGGAAATATGTGAAAACATTGGCTGCCATGTTGGACGACCAAGTTTCTATCTGCAGCTCAGAGGCTGGACAGGAAATGCGGATGAAAAAAAAGCAAGCAGACACAATCCTGTAATCGAGTAGACCGCCGACTCTTTTCTTGTCCAGCTGACACAGTTTCTGATAAAGCCCACGTTTCACTGAGTGATGGAGTCATAATAATCCTCCAAATGACGGTTGGCTTATGCACAGAGGCTGACAGAGGATCAGTGACGCTCGTACAGTGGCCACAGTGGCCGCTGGATTAAAAGAGAAACATCACATTTGTATGAGCTAAATGGATTTGGGGATAAAGATGGATGGTAAAAGTAAATGCCCTCAGTGATATGGGTAGTTTCAGACATGGAGAGCTTGGGATCAGGTCACATCGGTCTGGTCAGTGTGTTCAGCTGAATAATAACAAACTGCCTGTTTGGGTGCAGGTTTCTTTCTCAAGCTGCAGAAGTGACCTGTCATGAACGTGCTGTCATCGTAATCGACAACGTCTCTTATGTGACTGAGTCCCGGCCGCTGCTGCTGCAGAGCGCCGCTCACCTGTTTATTTAAAGTTTGTTCACATTGAACCTATCACGTGTCCAAATTGCACCAAACTTGACACTGCACTTCCTCGGGCCCCAAACAAGTGTGGATTTGAAATCGTTATTTTTTTTTATTATTTGGAAGAAGCTTGTTTTCTTGACAACTGTCAACACTCTGCTTGTGGCTGTGAAACGTATCCTCCCTCTCATTTATGACACGTTCCCGGTGGAAGTACGAGGTGAAGCCTCAGGTGTGTTTATGTGGTTTGACACTGGGAAGCAGAGTCTGTTACTGTCAAACACGGACAGATGTCTTCAATCACTTCTGTAGAGGAAACATTCGCTGAGACGTTGTTAAACCTGAGCAGACTGAGGTTCTTAGAAAACACCTGTTAAATAGAAGCACATGCAGCATCAGTGGATTAAAGTAAAATGATGTAATCTTGTGGCGTTTCTTTTGTGCAAGCCATAGTAAATATATAATTCTCATGGCTCATGACACGGTGAGTGCTGCATTTGTCCTCTTCACTCATACCCACATGTTTCTTTTGTTCTCATATTTCCACCTTTAATAGTTGTTGACAGTAACGAGGCTGATGAGAGAGTGTGTGACACAAATAAGTGGATATTGCAGTTGTGTTTCACACCAGGCTGTTCCAGTGATGATGACCACTGAAGATTTCTACTGCCACTATTAACTCCTCCCTTCATTTACCAATGAACTAAATAATCTCGTGCAGGATTCTCTGCTGAGGTTTGATTTTTCATCTTAAAAGCTTGAGGAACGACAGCTGCTCTCTTTGCTGATGTATGGATGTGTGTGTGTGTGTGTCTGTTTCTGTGGGTGTGTGTTTCTGTTTCAAGATTCTCTCTGATGTGTATGACGTGTAGATTTTGGGATATTCTCGGCCACACATACGCCTTCATTCTTAAATACAGTCACACAGACTGTGATGCTGCTGTGCACAGAAAAGTGTCCCTTCATCTCTCTCTCTCTCTCTCTCTCTCTTTGTTCCTCTAACACACTCGTGCTCGGTCGCTCGTCCAAGCCGGTTAGCCGTGCTCTCTCTGTGTCTCTGTTGAGGGATTACTGTGTCCTGTGTGATTATCTGTCTATTAATAGCTTCCTTTAAGACCGTACACGTGCTCCTATAGCAGCGGAGCCGCAGGGTCCCGAGGCCCGAGGCTCCTGCAGCTCTCCGGGCTCCTGCATCACGAGCAGACCCCAAATCCTGCAGGCGGTAATTACTGTTATGAACTACAGCACGAAGATAAACAAGAACACACACTGGAACACACTTTATACAACTAAAACAATCGGCATTGATTATTCCAGTTATGTAGTTGTTGTCGCTCGTGTCTGGTACTCTGTGAAAACATCACACCACACTCAGATTTGCATAGTTTTACTTAAGCGTGAATAGAATTTGATAATGCAGAACTGTGGCTTATGTATATTTTACATATTTATATATCGTTATAATGTCTCCTAGCACCTACACGTCCCGCCAGTGTACACTTTAACATTTCAGTATTAACATCTCATGTGTTTATAGTGTTCCCATCTTCACACTACTTTTTCTAACTTTTGTTTCACTGTTATTGTAGTTTTTAAAGAATACATCCTCATGCATTTGTTTGAACGTGTGACACACACACACACCTTTTAATGTCCACGTTTCACAATGCGTCTGCCTTGTGCACATTATTTTAAAGTCAGATACCTTCTGGGCGGGTTTATGGTCTGTTACACAAATGCCTGCAGGGAATTTGCATGAAGGCAAAACAAACAAATATGGCAGAGAGTGAACGTGACACAGAACAGTGGAAGGACCAGCCGATATAAAAACAATGAGCTCGTAGCTAAAAGAGGAGCTACGTCAATCGCTAGGACTAGAAACAGACCATGACTCTGCATTTCCAAAACGATGTCAAACAGCACAGAGAATCACAAAAGTGCCGACTCAGACGTTGTGAGAGATGAACTGATCAGATTTTGGTGCCAAGAGGTCAAAGGTGATAAATCTCGACTGCCCGTGAGCATTACATCTGTCACAGTTCACGGATGACCTGATTAGAAATGTGATATCTCCGAAACAATTAAAGGGAATTCTTTCAATTGTGGCACACGTGTTAACTTTGACTTGCGATCTGTTGTCACTTAGACTCAAAGATGAACTGATTACATGTCAGTGGTAAAAGGTCACTGTGACCTCATATGAATCTGGAAAACAAATGTATGTGGACGGAAACTGCATTCAACCGTAGTGTGTTCACTCTAGTTGAAGGGTTAGTAATTCAGACTGAAGATAATTCTCTCAGCACTGGTTGTAGAAGTCAAGAGAATGAAATGCATTTTCTCTGATAAGTTTCTGGAGCACGGAGTAAAGCCAGTCCAGACTCTTTTCCAGTCAGGTTGTGTTTGTTTGGGGCCGGCCTCGTTGGACGCAGCCTCAATGAGCGGAGCAGGAGGCCAGCAGGTCGTGAGGAACTAGTCGCAGTTGGATGAAAACACGTTCAGTATAATCACTTTAAATGCGCTTGATGAGATCTGCTAAGGGTTTTTTTTCCCAGGACAGGAAACTGCACTTTCTCTGTGAACGGTCAGAGCCTCAGGAAGAGAGCTTTTCATTCCGACCTGTTGAATTGGTTTTTGAACTAACTGAGGATCATATGCGTCACTAGGCCTCAACCCTCTTGCTCCCGATTGCACCAAGATTTCTTTGGTTTCACAAGATCAATAATGAGCCTTTCCTGAAATCTTCAGGGTTGCATCTAACAATTATTTTAATTTTTGATTCATCTGCTGATTTTCTTTTTGTAATCACTTGCAGCCAGTAGGTTTTCATTGATGTTTGTCTGTCTGTCTGACTTGATTACTCTAAAGCTTCCGAGCTGATATCCATGGAAGTTTGTGGAGGGCTGGGGCATGACTCTTAAACAGATTGTTTAATGTTGGAGTCAATCAGGATAAACGGGCAAATCCAGCTCCCGGGGCATCCTTCTAGTTAATGATGCATTGTGGTTGTGTCTGGAGAAATGCCAGGAAATGGTCAGAATGTCTGTTAAAGTTCATTTTAATTGTTAACTATCATGTATGTAATCTTCATTTTAGAGTTTTCAACAACAACTAGACTAAAAGGATCTGTTGATTGTACATCTACTTAATTCCTTGTCGATCAAATAATAATACATCTGCAATCTCTCCTTCAAAAAGGTGTGTTTATGTTCCAGTGATTTTCATTCTTACTATTGCTCACAATTTACCAGATCCCAGGTAGTGACTATAAATTAATTAAACTCTCTCAGATTATGATGAGGTGAAAAGGTCATTTCTTGGTTACTTTAAAAGTTTCTCATTAATTTACAGCCAGATTTGTGCTGTAGAATTCAAATTAACAAGCACTTTGAAGTGTAATTTACACACACACACACACACACACAGCCTTCGGAGCAGCAGCTTATCTCTTACATAATAATCATCCCGGTCCTGACGGGAAGATCAGGTCTTGAGTTGTGGCGTTCAGGGAAGAGCATCAAGCGTGTCCCTGCAATCAAGTGTGTCCCTGCAGGTCTGAACTCTGCGCAACCCTCCACCTCGTCTGTCGCTGTGCAACCAGCATACAGACACCTGCTGCCTTGTTCTTGCTGTACATGCACATGGTTCGTGACAGCGCAGCAGTCGTTCGCTCCCTAATGAGGCTGTCACACTCATCCTGCAGATTTACAGGGACAATGAATAAGTCAAAAGCAAACGCAGCGCAGGAAACTGACTCGTTCACTGCAGGCCTTAGTTTTCTGTGACAAACTTTAAGATGAATTTATCAATAGAGAGAACCCATACACTCCTCATGCGCTAACATGCGTGCAGGTTTTCTTTTCTGCTGCTCACACCAACCACCCGCTCCATTTTGTGTTGACACCAAACAGTGGAGCTCTGCTGCTGTTGAACAAGTCACTTCCCATGTCAGGAAACGGCGTCGTCAGCGACAAGAAAAGAAAGTCTCATGTAAAAATGTCAAATAGCTGCTTACCGCTAAATAATAGTAAAAGTACCTTCACAACACAATAATCATTGACCTGAGAGAAAGTGAATGGAACAAATGCACAAACAAACCAAAAACCTATGACCATAAATAAATGAATAATAAAGTAATAATAAAGAATGAAAGATTGAAGACAAGTTGCTTTTATTTTTTGACCGTTAAAGGAAATGCGTTGAATAAAATCTCCAACTGGAATCAAACCTGTGACGAGACGTTAACTCCGTTTCACCCTCGGGTGTCTGTGTTTCAAGTCCTTCACCCTTCTCCTCCTCTCTCTGTGTATCCAGACGTGCCAGCGCCGGAGCAGCCGGAGCTGTTCCTGAAGAAGCTGCAGCAGTGCTGTACTGTCTTTGACTTCATGGACACGCTGTCAGACCTCAAGATGAAGGAGTACAAGCGCTCCACGCTCAACGAGCTGGTGGACTACGTGACCGTCAGCCGGGGCTACCTGACAGAGCAGGCCTACCCTGAGGTCGTCAAAATGGTGAGGAGGACGGACACACACGCGCACGAGCACAGAGTTGACTCAGTGTTGACGTCTTTGACAGAAGAAAAGGAAAATGTCTCTGTGTCTGAAGCTGAAGAGACAAAATGATTCTTAAATCCAGTGTTTCCCCTGTTCGTTGCTTTATCTTCATGAACCTTGTCTTCATGTCTCTGGATGTTTTTTCTCCTCTGATCTTCATTCACACAAACGTTTGTTTAACTCGTCCTCGTTGTGTCGTCCTCCAGGTGTCTCACAACATATTCCGGACCCTTCCGCCCAGTGACAGTAATGAGTTTGACCCTGAGGAGGACGAGCCCACGCTCGAGGCCTCCTGGCCACACTTACAGGTAAACGTAAACCCAACCAAAGCTGTGTGTGTGTGTGTGTGTGTGTGTGTGTGTGTGTGTGTGTGTGTGTGTGTGTGTGTGTGTGTGTGTGTGTGTGTGNCTTTATTTGTGTGTGTGTGTGTGTGTGTGTGTGTGTGTGTGTGTGTGTGTGTGTGTGTGTTAATGAACTTGTTTGGTGCAGCGGTTTGTTTTCGGTTACAGTGGCGGAGCACAGCTTTTAGTTGGAAGATTAAAAAAAGTCGTTTTGACTTTTCAGTCCGTGGATATGAAACAAACGAGCGTCGGCCTGTGAATTAAACAGTGTTAGAATTTAACACCGGGAAACTGTTGGACTGGTTTAAACAGTTGTTGCTCTCTCTCATGTCTCTGGTTGGTTCGATCCCAGTCTTCCTCCTCTGCACGCTGAAGTGTCCTTGGGCAAGACGCTGAATCCCCCAGAGAAGAAAGTGCTGCCCATAGATGCACCGTATGAATGTGTTGTGTGAATGGCAAAAAAATAAAACTAGACTAGAAAAGATCTTTCTATACATTTTACCACATCACTCGGAGAAACATTGAGAATTAGCATATTTTTCAGTAGACAACAAACACAATAACCTTTGGTGCCATCGCCCCCTGCTGGTTGTATTTGGCTCCTGGGTTTTGTTGATATTTTGTTCTAGTCCAGTTTTTGGGTCCAGGTCTAGAGACTCCCCCCCCCCCCCTCCTTCTCTGTGTGTCGCTGCCCAGGACTCCTTTAGAAATGAGATGCAAATCTCAAGGAGAAGCTTCCTGGTAAAACCTCTTTTATTTCTTTGTGTTGTTCCGTTCGCACAACTTCTCCAAAGTCTCAAGTTTCTAATTTTCCCAATCATCAAACTCCCTCATCGCCCACGTTCAGGCCAGACCTGACGTTCCGCCCTCCTCGGTACCTTTCGTGACCTCTGACCTGCTGTTACCTCTCCTTTGACTCCTGTCCCGGTGTTTCGGGGTTAGTTTGACGGCTCTCGTTTCTAAGAGGAACCTGTCAGTGTTTTTGTTGATCGAAGACGGTGGGCGGTGAAAGATGAGGAGACATTTTCATTATTGTTTTGACATAAACAACTTTCCGTTCCTCATCCACCCTCTCTTCTTCTTCTTCTTCTTCATCTCTCTCCAGTTGGTATACGAGTTCTTCATCCGGTTCTTGGAGAGTCAGGAATTCCAGCCCAGCATTGCCAAAAAGTACATAGACCAGAAGTTTGTCCTACAGGTGAGTTGCTCAGCTGCTCCGCAGTTACTTCAATGTGAGCTTCCTTTTATCTCTAAAAGACGTGATACTAAAATACGTGATACTAAAATACGTGGTACTAAAATACGTGGTACGTTCCTTCTAGTCTCTTAAATCCGAGGATTTCATGCAATTCCTTTATCACACATGCTGGTGAAGTGAATATTTGAACGTGTGTCTGTATTTCTTCCGTCCCTCCAGCTCTTGGAGTTGTTCGACAGCGAGGATCCTCGGGAGAGAGACTACCTGAAGACAGTCTTGCATAGAATCTACGGCAAATTCCTGGGGCTGAGGGCTTTTATACGAAAACAGATCAATAATATTTTTCTACGGTGAGCGGATCAGTTTCTTACCAGCTTATGTAATAAGTGACTTTACTCTTTTAAAATAAAAAAATGTTTTAGCTCAACATGAGTATTTCTAGATCAGCAGCAGCCTCACGCTCCTGGTGACGAAATATTTAGAAGGTTCTCAGAATGAAGACGTTTTCTAAGAATTCTCGTTCAAAGTTCCGGCGAGATCGTGATGAAGATAAGAGTTTTTAACAAAGCGTCTCAGCCTTTCACAGAGCGGCTGAGGTGGAAACGCTTCAGTCTTTTTAAGAGGCTTAACAGTTTCTTAGCAGACGAGAAAATGGTTTTTTTTTCTAAGGTCACTTTGTCGGCAGCCTCAAGTCGGTGAGGTTCACTCACCTGTGAGTTAAACGTATTTTCATTGTGATCCATCAGTTAAACCTTTTTTAAAACAAAGTTCAGTGAAACAACGTTTACTAAGAAAGGTTTCTCCAGAGTATTCCCAGAGCGTTTGTGAATGCGGCCCCTGCTTTTGCCAACTTTGCTCATTTGTTTTAGTTGTTTAACCTTTTTCTTGTCTTCTGTCTTTTGTCTCCTCTGTTCTCTGCCCCCCCCCTCTGTCCGCTCTGCAGTTTTGTTTATGAGACGGAGCACTTCAACGGGGTGGCTGAGTTGCTGGAGATCCTGGGGAGGTATGTGGAGGCCTCCGACCCTCACACACACACACATTTAAATTCTGCTCTGTTAGCTGAACCTTGTAGTCGTCAGACCTGAGAGCAAAACCTTGTTATCTGCCTGTTTTCATTTCATATAAGTTTTTTTAATCTGGCTGTTTTATGGAGATTGAGACTCGAGTGCGATGACGATTGATAAGAAGTGAGGAAACCCGAGCCGAGTAGTTTGACTCCATAACAACAGGATTTTCACAGAGAAGAGATGTGAGGCTCAGGTTGAGTCGGGAGTTTGACATGTAGATAAGACATTAATTAATCCCCTCTGCTCCACAGTCCTTTTAATCCAGTAATAAAGAGCTGTGATTTACACAGACGCTTTATCCGGAGTCGCACGGGGTCGGTTTACGTGCACACGGGGCCGAGGACCATTTTCTTACTGATTGTAGTCGTAGCTTGTTGTTTTGATTTAAAATGAAAAATAAATCTGCATAATCTATTTCTGCTCCTGAGTATTTAACACAATTGATATAATCTTGAGAAAATATAAAAGTAAACAGCAGAACTTAACTTAGTCTTTAGCTTCATAGGTTTCATTCGAATATAATTTGCAGACGTTGGTCAAATCAAATGATTCCAAAGCAGACTTTATTTGAATTGTCTTTGTTTTTCTTCTGAGTCACAGGATAATTACACCTCCTCTCGTCTCTTAAAATAATCCAGATAAAACTTTTCCACTCTTCAGTTCAGAGCCGCTCTCAACCTGTGACGAGGGGTCACAAGAACATGGCTTTGTTTCAGGAGGTCACGTGTCGGAAATGTGATCTCAGGGCAGAGGAGAAGGAAGAATAACCAGACGAGAGAATAAAGAGATTCAGGGTTTTTTAGTTGTGAAGCATCAACGCTCCCAAGAAAACACGAGGGAGAATCGTTCAGCTCTCTGACTAAAAATAAAACCAAAACACGGAATAAAGTCGTCAACAAGCTGAAAAGACCGGGAGCTAAAGGTAGACATTAAGAAACAAACCTCAAATAAATGGAACAGCATATTTTCCGACTTGTAGCTGGTAACTTCAAAAAGGCTAATTCCGCACAAACCTCCTCCAGCTGATTGGAAAATTATAAAGAAATTACAAGAAACGTAATAATTTGATGAAATTCAAGTGAATGCTCACAGACCAGTGCAGGACTGTGGTCAGGAGCTTTAAAGCTTCATCACGTTTTCAGGCTTTGGGTCAGATCATCAGTCACATCTCTTTATTTCTCCTCCAGGCTCCAGCGCCCATATAAACAGACTTCTATTCATCCACTGCTCATTGATCCTCCGCCCGGACACAATGAAATGCTTTCATGTGTTAATGTTTGATTTATGTATTTTCTCTCCTCCTCTCCTCCTCTTGCCTCTCTCTCTCTCTCTCTCTCTCTCTCTCCCAGTATAATCAATGGTTTCGCTCTGCCACTGAAAGCAGAACATAAACAGTTTCTGGTCAAAGTGTTGATCCCCCTCCACACTGTCAGGAGTCTGTCCCTCTTCCACGCACAGGTAATGTGTTTGTGTGTGTGTGAGAACTCTAATCCTAACTATTCTACATTGGGTTTGAAAAGTTCGGCGATATTTCATTTTATCGACACGCGTAGACTCTACATCTCTAGAGCTACTTGTGCTGAGTCACTAGTCGTCTTTATCTGTAGAACTTGAAACCTTCACATTTTAAATCCACCCAGACTAGACGCACTCGTTGATATTAGTCTCCTTAGTGTGTCTGATTCTCTGAGAAACAAAATTCCCGGTTCCTGGACCACGTCACCGAGTCACAGGGGAGACGTTGAGGCAGACAGGTTTTCCACCGAGTCTAAAATAAGATGAACCACAGTTTTGTGGGTGACGCCTCCTCGTGCACGTCGACCTCACCAAACTTCCCAAAACCCTTCTGATAGAAAGTGGTGCTGAGTAATGATGATTAGATTTCAAACAGCAGAACGCTGAGGGAGCCGTAGTGCACGGGTGTAAATAACCTTACACCTTGAGAGGGTGCGGGAAACTTAACAGCTTCTTCAGCTGTAGGTCATTTACATCGACAGGGAAACGGCTCCACTGAAACTTCATTCAGTGACGGAACAGACGAATCTGTGACCTGCAGTAAACTCTTGGTTCAACAGACACCAGCAGCTGATCACATAGTTCAGATCAACTTCATTATATCTGACGTCACTGAGCTTTTGTCTGTTTCAATGTAAATCAGGTGAAGAGTCAGTTTGCTTCAGGATCGCCTGCTGCTCAGCTCATCGTCAGGTTGCAGCGACGTGTTCACATGAATCAGCCGAGATCCGACGTTGATTTGATTGAGAAGTGTTCAGACTGTATCAATGGACTCAGATTCAGTGCCTCCTCTATTCTCATTGAGAAAATTACTGCCTGCTTCACACTTACAGTGAGCGCCCTCTGCTGGATCAAGAGGCAAACCACTTCAGATTTCTGATTAGCTGCTGATTATCGATGACAGGTCACTACAGTTTGAAAATGAAAGTTTCAATGAATGTTTGGATTTTGAATAAGAAGCGACAGAGCTGCCGTCACAGTGACACTAACTCTTCTTCTTCTCCTCCTCTCTGCAGTTGGCGTATTGCATTGTACAGTTCCTAGAGAAAGACCCAACATTAACAGAACCAGTGAGTCTCACCACATCTGAGTCCATGTTTGTTTTAAACAGTTTGGTCTCTGCTCCTTTGCTTCTCACACACAGTTAAAACTATTTTACAGATGAATAATTCAATCAGTGATACAATCAGTGATATATAATATATTGAATTTAATGTCACATATAATAAAGTGCTCAAGATAAACACACACAGTCTCCTCGGAAAGAACAAAATGCATGAATGCTCAGTGTGAACTCTTCGTCCTCAGGTCATCAGAGGCTTACTGAAGTTCTGGCCGAAAACCTGCAGTCAAAAAGAGGTGAGCCTCTTCACGTACAAACCCTGTGTGTGTTGACGTGTGTGTTGACGTGTGTGTTGACGTGTGTGTTGACGTGTGTGTTGACGTGTGTGTGTTGACGTGTGTGTGTTGACGTGTGTTGACGTGTTGCTCCTGTGCTGCGTTCAGGTGATGTTTCTAGGGGAACTGGAGGAGATCCTGGACGTCATCGAACCCACACAGTTTGTCAAGATCCAGGAGCCGCTCTTCAAACAGATCTCCAGATGTGTCTCCAGCCCACATTTCCAGGTCAGTGGAACCGGCGGCGACGATCTGTCAGCGGGTTCAGTAACAGGACGTGTTGAAACGAGAACGTGTCACAGTTTGTGATTACAGTTGAACCATTCAGGGGTTTTTCTGGCCGTTGACTCATTTCTCTGAGTTTGCTTGTGTCCGTGTCAGGTGGCAGAGCGAGCTCTGTACTACTGGAACAACGAGTACATCATGAGTCTGATCGAGGAGAACTCCAGCGTCATCCTGCCCATCATGTTCGCCAGCCTCTACAGGATCTCCAAAGAGCACTGGAACCCGTGAGTCACTTTAAATAACCGGCTTCGTGTGAGAGCTTTGAGCTTCGATGGAAATATTGGTTCTCTGGTTTTATGTTCTCACGATTGAATTGTTTTACACGTAGCTTCTTTATGTCCGTCAATTCTCCTGAACTTGATGTCTGAGGACAGAATGTGAGAACTTATTAAACACCATGAAAATAAAAGAGACTCGCTGACTTGATGAATAAACGATGTTAAAGTTTTGCAGAGCTGTGACGTCTCTCTCTCTCTCTCTCTCTCTCCCTCCCCTCCCTCCCTCCCTCCCTCCTCAGGGCGATCGTAGCGCTGGTGTACAACGTACTGAAGGCCTTCATGGAGATGAACAGTACTTTATTTGATGAACTCACAGCCACTTACAAGTCGGACCGCCAGCGGTAAGAAGCTGTTCACGTCATCATCTTCATAATGAATAATATCTGGATTAATATCGACTCCACACTGAGCGGCAGAATGAAAACGAGGAGTCAAGAGACGTTCGTATGTTCTCGTCTTCAGCCTCTTTGAGTTCCAGGGTTTGTTTCATGTGTTTTGTTGTTTGAGTCCGGCTCCAAGTCTGTTTTTATTCTTCATCACGTTTGATCGCACGAGTTCCCAAGAATCTGGAATCGTAAACTTTGTTTGCTCCTGGTTCTCGACTGGATCGTCAATTAAAAGATTAAAAAATCTGCATCCATGTCTGTGCTCGCCCACGTTTTTTTATTCCTCTGCACTGGAGGCAGCCAGGTTCTCCCTCCGTCTTATTCTCGTAAACACGATATCTCGAGAACGTCTTAAACTTGGTTCAAACGTTCAGAGTAAAAAGACGAGCTGGTTAAGTTTGGTCGCTGTGATGTCTCAACTCTGCCTTCAGGGGACGTCTTCAGGTTTTGACCACTCAAAGATGAACTCTTTAGATTTCAGCGGTCAAAGGTCATGTGACCTCACATTAGTCCGGTTGGCGGAGGAGTGTTCAGATGTTTTGCCGCAGACCTCGGTGTCTGAATGTCTGTGTTCTGAGGTTAGAGCCTCCCAGACGTTGTGGACGCGCAGCGCCGCAGGACGGTGGGATCACGCTGTTGAAGCGGGTTTGGTTTTGAACTCTCGCTCTGCTGCTGTTTTCCAGTGAGAAGAAGAAGGAGAAGGAGCGGGAGGAGCTGTGGAAGAAGCTGGAGGACTTGGAGCTGAAGCGCGGCCTTAGGAGCGACGGGATCATCCCAACTTAACGAAGACAACGCCGCGCTCCCCTCTGTCCCCGCCCCCCCCGACTCTCTTCCCCAACCTCCCCCCCTCCCACTCTGACTCCCCCTCCCCTCCATCTTGACCCCGCTCCCCCCCACCCTTCCCTCCACATCAGCCATGTCTGCCCAGAGCTCCGAACCCCCCCCCCCTCCCCCGATAAAGGCCATCGTCTCTGGATGGACTCGGAGCGCCCGCTGGTTTCTTAATTGTGTTTATTTTTCTTCAGTTTTTTTTTCTCCTGTGTTTATGCGACTTACTTTACAGTAGATTCATCACGTCTGTTTTCATTATTTCAACAGCACTGTAAATAATTCTTTTTCTTTTTTTCCCTTAAAACTGATATTATTGCAAAACAGAAAAACAAAACAATAATAATAAAAAAAGGAGGAAAAAAATAGAAAATGAGAAAATGACTTGTGTGGGAGGGGGATTTAAACGACAAGAAGAAAAAAAAGTTTTGGACTGTAGGACGTGAAATGAACTTGTGGAAACAAAAAAACGACAAAAAAAGAAGATTTTAAAAACTTCATCCCTTCTTCTTCTTCTTCTTCTTCTTCTTTGTCACTGCCGTCACGTATCTAACTTTTATTTTCCTGGTTCTCCTCTTTGCTTTTCCTCCCGTCGCCTCCATTTCTCTGTTCATCGGTGCATCTGTCATTTCTGTCCAAACGTGGGGCGTCCGGATGGATTATTGTCCCCCCCCCACCTCCCTCCCTGCTCCAAAGGTTCCTTAAGGACCCCACCTCCCCCCTCTCCTCTCCTCCTGTTAAAAACAGGAAACAAACAAAAGAACAAAACCACATTCAAAAACTTTCTCAGTACAACAACACGTTTTAAAATCACGTGTGAGTGCGTTTACATGTGTTCTGTCAGAGTTCACGAGTCCGGCAGGAAGAAAGATTTAAGAAAAATCATTTCCTGAGATTCTGTTTTATTTGTTTCATTCCCTAAATTGAGCCGACGTCTCGTCAAATTACGTCAAATTAATAATTCACTGTGAAATTCCGAAAAACAATTCAGATCCACGAACTCAGAGAAATGGTCACAACCTTCAGACGAGTGTCGTTGAATCATGATGAGGACAAAAAGAAAAACCGCTCGTTATCAGATTCTGCTGATTAATCATCGTGTTGAAATGTTTCCTTCAGGTTATAAAATAATCCAGATGATGTTTGTCTCTACATTAAATGTCACCGTACAAACAGGAAGCTGCTGCAGCACGAACGTGTTTAACATAAACCAAGAAATAAAGACAAAAGGAAAAGTTTGATTCTTCAGGCAACGTCCCGCTTCCCCTCTGCTGCACCCGAGCATGATGGGAAATGAAGTCTTGGAACACTATGAATGAAAATTCAATTCATTAAAAACTTGATAAGTTTAAACCACTTGATCTCTAAATGATTCAGTCGGATGTTGTATCCTGATTTTCGGTGAACCTGATGAGCTCACTTCCTGTCGTCCGTCACGTACTCGGACTCTTCGTGGGCGAGTCTCTGCGCTCGCTCTCTCAGACTTTATTCTACGACCTGATGACAAATGAAGAAACACAGATCTGTTTCCATGTAAACGCACTCCTCCTCCTCCTGGGACTCACTCTTCATCACGTGACTCTTCTCCTCCATCACTCTCTCTCTCTCTCTCT